ACTTTCAAGAATCCCAGGAATCAGCTGTCCTCCTAAAGTTTAGCATGCTCTGGCCATGGCTGTACCTATCGTGTCTACCTCTTTTCCTACTTCCTTCCACTTTAGCAACAATTACCTTTTTCCATTATCTTATGTCCAAAGTACGACAGCCAGTTGTTATTTGCATGATAGGCAATGTATGAAAGTACATCTGTCATATGACAGTACAAGACAGATGAGATGAGGTAACAATCCTTTTAATCCCCTTAATCCTGATATTTTCCAGCAACTAGCCCTTTGTGTGTATTTGTATATGTACATGTTTGTGTGAGGGTTGCTCTGGTGTCACCATCTTCTTTCTCTTCCTGTGTCCCCCCATGTCAAAACATTATTGAGCCTTATGAATTTGTGTGCCTATAACAGGATGCATCTAACACTTTTGATTTCTCAGAAGGATTTTTGTCTAATTTCTGTTTCTCTAACAGCTAAGTTAGCAAGCCACCTAACAAAATGTATGCATTATCAATGAAATGAATTGTGTAATGCCCAGACCACATCATTGTGTTAAGATATCATTGCTGACATATGCAGGCCTGAAACAGGACAATCCAATAAGTGAAAATATGAAATACAGGAGTTATTGTATAAGGCAGGGGTACCCAAATGAAGGCCCATGGGCCAGATGTGGCTCTCCAAGGTCATTTACCCAGCCCGCCATCCTAAATTTTAGACTTAGGGTTGCCGTTAGTCTGAAATGACTTGAGGGTACACAACAATAATCCTTATTAACTGCAGAAAGCAGGCCAACCTTCCTACTGAAATACTGTTAAGTTTATGTTGTTTAAAATTGTTCCTCATTTTAAATATTGTATTGTTCTTTCAAATTTTTGCACTACAAACATGATATGTGCAGTGTGCATAGGAATTTGTTCATGATTTTTTTCAAACTATAGTCCCCCCCTGTCCCCCCACCTCCAAAGAGTCTGAGGCCCTCTGCTTTAAAGGTTTGACGACCCCTTGTACAAGGTACTCTATGTTTTTCTAGAAGATACAAAGTGTTTATACTGGGATGGACAACTGTTAGGATACAGGGAGGCATGCTTCCCTGTATCCTAAAATCAACTGGGGGAGGGGGGAGCATGGTAAAATTGGAGCTTCATGAAGAGGTAGTCATACTTCTGCTCTCCATGAAGCTCTAGTTTTACCATGCTTCTCCCCCCGCCCAGTTGATTTTAGGCTCTAGAGAGGGTTTTTTTTTTTTTTACAAGAATGGACTGTCCCAGAAATCAAGATTTGGTTCACATTCTATTTTCCAGAAAGAACTCTTCTAGGCCTACAATGATCTGTAGAGGGGTAAGTATCTCTCTACTGAAGTTTAGGGCAAGAGCTGGGTAAATTACCTTGGAGGACTGCTTCTGGCCAGTAGGCCTTAGTTTTGGGACCCCTGCTTCATACCATAGCTCCTATATTTCATATTTTGACATTATTATTATTATTATTATTATTATTATTATTATCAACAACAACAACAACAACAACAAACATACTTTTATTTATTATCCACCTCTTCTGATGGCTTGAGGTGGGATACAATAAATTCAAAAACATATAAACATAAAATACATAAAATAAATTACACTGGCACGTGACACTGTTTTTCAGTGTGGTACTCTCCAGATGGTTTGGATTTTTCTCTTTTGTTCTGTAATATCTGTATGGATGAAATGCTTCTCGTTTCTGTCACTATCTTGGGAAACTAGTGGGATTGATTGCTGCTAATAACAGTTTATTACATGACACTTCATCCAGACAAAACTTACTTTTGCCTAGAGAAAACCTAAATAAATAAATAAATCTAGAAATAAAGATTTGGCCTGTGTCAGGTTGAAGGTAGTTTCCAGATTAAAGTAGTCTTTTGGGCCTGAGTTTGGCTGTTGATAAGCAGGTGAATTCTGTAGCCAGAAAGACTCCTTTGTAGCATATCTGATGTGTTCTTTGTTTCTGGAAAAAGCAAATATCATGTTATGATGGCATATATCTTCGTTTTGTCATGTGTGGACCTCTGCACTGCACTCAGCCTGCTTCTAAAAAGCTTCATCTTGTTCAAAATAAGATAGCCAGATTGTTAACTGGAATGGAATATCAAAATCACTGTTGATGAGACAGCGAGATTCATAGGTTCATTTCAGAGAAATGAATGTGATCTTGAAACCTGTACATAGTTAGTGCTAATGGGCATCCTTCTTCCTTTGAGTTTGTCCGCTTATTAAGATCATCTCTGTATTTCCTCTGGCTGCTCTCAAGCCCACATTTGGTTAAATTAAGAAAGAGTATATTTTTTTGTAATCAAGCACAACTTTGGAACCCTTTACCTAGGAAATTTGTTTTTTCCTTCCTTGTTGAATCTCCACAGGGAATCAAAATCTCCCAATTTTGTTGCTTGTATGCACTCACGTGCATTCCTTCCAGTTTTTCTTTTTTTATATTATTTTTTTCATTTTCAAGATTTTAATATAAGGAATGGTGATATATTTATTTATTTTAAACAAATAACATTTTACAAAAACATACTTCATTTGCACCCTAGCTAATGTAGAAAAAAAAAGAATCAATTATGATACTGCTCATACTATAGTAGTAATGGCAGGATGTAATCTGTTCCTTCCCTACTCCAGACCAATGGTGTGCATTGCCAGAGTAAAGGAACAATAGCATTCCCTCGTGCCATAGCTGATGCCACATGTCAGGCATGTAGCCGGGGGGGGGGGGGCTTGAGGGGCTTCAGCCCCCCCCCCCAATTCTCATGGTGGTTCGCGGAAAAGGCCTTACTGGTGCATTATTTAAACTGTTATGTTTATTCATATCATGATCTGATCACCATACTCAATATATCCCATATGCATGGGGGTATTGGGGTAATGATACAAAAGGTTTGCTAGGCTAGACCCTCTTTCACTCAGACTCAGCCCCCCCCCCCCGAAACTCAGCCCCCCCGAACCCCCCCTGAAAATTTTTTAGCCCCCCCGAAACAAAATCCTGGCTACGGGCCTGCCACATGTTGACACTTTTGAGTACGGCGGTATGAAAGGGCAGATTAGCTTCTACTTATATATAATCCATGTGAGTTAGCACATGATATTTGTAGATTTAATTCAAACTGAAAGTTGCCTATACATTTTGAATTTAAAAAATCCAGGACCAAGGAATATTAAGGAAACATAGACAAAAACTGTTAGGTAGGTCAAGGCATAGAAATTCTTCTATTTAAGACAGGTTTTTTTGAAACTTGTCTCTTTTCATAAAAGCTACATAATTAGCAAAAAAAAAAAACAGATTGGGGGAGGAACCGAAATTACATGTCAGCTAAGCAGCTTGTATATGAATTTTCAGAGGATAATGAAGTCTGCTTAGTTATGCTAGTATAAGGGCAAAGGTAATTAAATTCCTTTAAGTACTAGTCTTTACAACCTGTTAATGCTTACTCTGATAATTTGTAGAAAATATGTAATCTTGTGCTAAGGAGTACTGTGCTAGCCAAAAATGCCAGTATTTCCAATAATTTTAGGCTAAGTCCAAAGGGCTGGTTATTATTTCTAAAGCCCTAAAAGGTTTGGGTCAAGGTTACCTGCAGGATCACATTTTCCCATATAATCTGCAGATACTTACTTACTTACTTAGGCGATCCCTCGTTGGACGAGTAAGATGGTCTTCCATTATGGATTTCCTTGTGGGTCCGTATGTGGCTGTGGAGCCCTATTCTTGCTCTGCATCTTCTTCCGCAGTGAGGGCATTGGTTTCCAGGTGGAAGGCGGTCCTGGTCGGGGTTGGCTTGACGCGCCTTCCTCCTGGCACGTTTCTCTCTTTCACCCTCCACTCGTGCCTCCTCAAATTCTGCAGCACTGCTAGTCACAGCTGTCCTCCAGCTGGAGTGCTCAAGGGCCAGCGCTTCCCAGTTCTCAGTGTCTATGCCAGAGTTTTTAAGGTTGGTTTTGAGCCCATCTTTAAATCTCTTTTCCTGTCCACCAACGTTCCGTTTTC